TGCAGCAGCGAGCTGGTCCTCGCCGCTCACTTTTGTCCGCTTTTACAGGCTAGATGTCTCTGCTCCAAGTGTGGCCCGCGCAGTGCTGGGTCCCGTGTTGAGACAGAGTTCTACCTGTTAAGTTCTGGTTGTTTTTGGTGATTTTCGAGATAAGCATGTCTAGCAATACGGGAGTTTCAATATCCCATAGTGAGACATCGAACGGAGTGTTATGAATGAGAACTATAGGTTACTTACGTAACCCCAGTTCTCAGAGTAACATGATGTCTCACCAGATGGCCCTTCTTGCTAAGGCGAAGCGAGAAGAGGTGCTTATTTTGAATGACGCTGCGTCGTAGCGCAAGCTACTTAAAGGGTGGGTGGATTCCCTGACGTTGACGTCAAGATCACCAGCCAATCAGGATTGGCGTAATGAGATTGATGCTTCTGTTTGCATACGCGTTGAGGCGCATCCCATAGTGAGACATCTCACTTCATGTTACTCTGAGAACTGGGGTTACGTAAGTAACCTATAGTTTTCACAGACTTTGGTTACACAGGGTTTGCTCAACATGTTAGAGTTGGCTGACCTGTGGCCAATCCTGGTTAAGGAATGGAGCAGGTGTGAACAGCATGAAGGGGAGGAGCCAGGCTGTTCATTCTCTACTCTTCACTGTTGGTTGTTTAATTAATCAATTGTAAACATGTCTTGTTTATTCCTTTTTACTGATAGGGTTGGTGGTTCAGTTGAGCACAGATAATGGATAATGTATTGAGGTAAAGAGAAATGAACAGGCTTATCAAAGGTGTGTGACATTCTGAATATACACGTCACATTAATGAAGATACAATCAACCAAACACACATTTTCCAGTTTATTCTGATCTAGTATACTTTAAACACACAATCTAAAAGTGTGTGTGTGTGTGTGTGTATGTGTATGTGTATGTGTATGTGTATGTGTATGTGTGTGTGTGTGTGTGTGTGTGTGTGTGTGTGTGTGTGTGTGTGTGTGTGTGTGTGTGTGTGTGTGTGTGTGTGTGTGTGTGTGTGTGTGTGTGTGTGTGTATCAGGAGCTTCGGGAGATGCTGGACAGACATCGCTCTCAAAATGAAGCATGGCTCAGAGCGAGAGCCGAAGAGAACGACAGAGAGAGGAGAGAGCTCTGCAGACTCAGAGTGCGTACACACACACAATCACAAAACATATTTCAATTTCCTGTTTAACTGACTTTCTATCTGGGGTGCGTTTATTTATCCAATTTCTAAGATTCTAAATTCTAAAATGAGAGCGTACTGTAGTTGTTCTAAGCGGCTCACACAGCAAATTTGAAATCTAAAATTCAACACCCATCTAGTTAATTTTAACACTATGAAAGAGTTTATATGGAAACCACCAGCAAAGTGTTAAATTAACACTTTCCAAAGTGTTGACAATATAACTCTATCACAGTGCTATACCAACATTGAGTGTAAGATGTGAACACCAACACTGAACACCAACACCGATAAGAACAACACTAACAGTCTTGGCTGCAGCTTCAATTTTACACTGTCCTGGTGTAGAGTAAAACTACAGTAGTGATACATCTTCTCCCATTTAACACCTTTACGAGTTAAACATGTACACTAATAGTGTTGCAATTTTACACTGTCCTGGTGTAGAGTAACACTACATACAGTAGTGAAACAATGTATCCCATCTAACACCTTTAACACTAGAACCGCCAACAGGTCAATTTTAACCGCAGCTGCTTTTTGATTGTAACTTTTTTTCAATCAAATATTAAAGTCTCCCAGTCCGTGACTTTTCCTGAAATTGTGTTATGTAGCACCCTCTGTTGTGAAACATTGTCAATATGAAGTCAGATTGAAAAATTGCCATTTATACCTATATCCGCCAGCAGATAATATTTACCTCATCGAAAATGCAGCGATTTTCGCACTATTGATTTTGCGCGTAAACATAAACATGACGTGTTGCTATAGCAACGCCTTTTGTCTACTGCGGTTTTTCTTATAGATAGAGAGAGAGAGAGATAGATAGATAGATAGATAGATAGATAGATAGATAGATAGATAGATAGATAGATAGATAGATAGATAGATAGATAGATAGATAGATAGATAGATAGATAGATAGATAGATAGTGATAGATAGAGAGCCGGTCATATTTCCGAAATGGACAAAAGAAAGAGACTCATGAATGTACAGGAGGCTTTAGCGTTGCTAAACCATCTGAGCGAAGAAGAGTCTGATGGTGGGGAGGGGTCAGGACTGAGTGATGTGTCCTGGGTTTGTTCTGCCTCTGATGGGTCATCTGACAGCGATCCTAAGCCTCCGCGGAAAGTGAGACCATCCTATCCTGACCCTCCGCTTGAAGATGGGCCTACTGATGTACCAGCCCACGCAGAAGGTGAGATACAAATAAATAGGGATAGCTTATACAATGTAAGGGTCCTGATAATTTATTCCGGGAAATTACTCAGACCTACTAATTGACCTGACCGAAGTTATTGAGTCTATGTAAGTTTACTGCTTGGCTCAGATCCACCAACGTCAGCAAGATCTCACCTCTATTAACTCCCCGAAGAACCAGGTTCAATTAACTGCTGTTTCAATTCAGACAACTCTCTTAAATCTGTTTAAGCAATCCCGAAGGATTTTGATATCAGTAAATGAGGTGTGTTCCTATCCTAAGTGTGAGTGTGGCAGGGTGCAATCTTACCTTTGAAGCAGGAGAGGAGAGCGCAGATGTCTTTTAAGTTGTCCCAATCCAAAAGGTGGGATCAGTTTATTTGAAGAAAAATAGGTCCAAACTAATACAGGGTTTTTACCTTCTCTCTTTACAACATTATAATCATACTAAACTAAATGATGCTGTGATCATGTTCAAATATGAAACTTTAATTCACAGTTTTACATTTATTACCAAAATTGTAATTTCAACTGCCCAATTCAGTTGTGATTTTTAAATCTCCCGATAGAATTTAGAGGCATTTCCTCATAAATGACCGGTGATAATAAAAAGCACATTCAAACTTTCATTTTCATCCACTCAATTCACATCAATTTCATACCTTTTTTCCGACACAGACGGCGGGAATAACATTCAAAAACCCATTCCTATCCACATGAATTCGGAGGAAGATTCCTCACAGGTGGCGGGACTAATATTCACAAACACATCTCCCATCAAATCATTCCACTCAGAAAACACATCTCCCATCAAATCATTCCACTCAGTTCACAAAGAAATTCACTCAGCATTCAACCAAGACATTTTGAGGGATATTTACCAAGTCTGAGAGAACCTTACCGAGAGCAAAACCCAGCTCTGAGGGACAGAGCTTACAGAGAGAGAGCATACCAGGGGAACCCCCCTCTCTCTCTCACTCCCTCCCAAAAAGAAAGTTCCTCCCCATCCGCCAGTGTCTTTATGCTCAACAACAGGATATAGAAACCTAAGACACCTCCTCCACACCCATATTTGTGAAAACTGGGCATGGCCTCTGATGTACAGGACTGGACATATTCTATTGGCTATGGCATAAGACACACCTTCCCATGTTTGTGTAAAAAGGACATGACCCCTGCAAAATATTATTCTCGGCTATGACATAACCACCTTTTTGGGGCCTCAGTGTGTTTCTCCTTAAGTCCGGAGCCCCCCCTCCCTGTGTACTGCTGTGAGAGGAGAGGGAAGAAACTGCCTACCCTAGTAAGGCATAAATCATTATAGGCCCACTCAATTTAACAAACCACTTGTGTTTTGTTTATACTGTAAATATAGAAAAACCTCAAATATGAAGCATTTTCATTGTGGGTTATACAAGAATATAATTGATTATATTTCATTATAACTAACTTTCGTTTTAAGTATTCACTTGATATGGAGATCTCAACAACAACATAGGCTACTCCTCACTCACTTCATTGTTCCTATCTGTCAAACACGCTCGGACACACACAGTGAAGCACACCATCTTATTGCTAAAAATACTCGGCCGCATATCTGATATGATAACACACACTCAACACTGCAGATAGCAATGTGTATATGCTTACCTGCTCTTCATGGGAGAATGACTAATACTACAAAATAAGACTATAGCCTACTTTTCTACAAATCGTATAAGATAGCCTATCAAGGCATATATATAATGCCTTTTCTTTTTACAAATGATCTTTTCATTTCCTTTCGAGGCTGTAATATTATCAATTAAACATTTATGAAATATACTTAAGACTAAAGTAGTGTTTTCCTCTCTCCTATTTGGTGTGTGCCACTGAGCCGTCACCAGCCCAAGAGATCGGGAAAGATGGCACGGTGTGGACGGTCATGGAGCCTTGCGGAGGCACAGGGAGACGGCAGATACGGAACATCCTCACGGAGTCTGCTGGCCAACACCACACGCACGTGAAAACATTACTGACAAACTCACAACCTTTATGTGTCTGTGTGATAGTGTAATGTTGGAGGAAATCCGTGATTGCACCATTGCTGAAGCGAGCAAAGATAATGGAGACAGCTATTATGGAGCTGAAGGCCTTTATTGCGCTTCTCTACGTGAGAGGTGCATATTGTGGGAAAAACATTGAGGTGGAGAGTTTCTGGTCCGAGCAGTGGGGCAACGCGTTCTTCAACGCAACACTGTCGAGGAACAAGTTTAGAGACATCATGCGCTACCTGCGCTTTGACAAAAAGGAGACACGCCGGTGCCGATTGGCCACCGACAAGTTTCCTCACGTGAGGAAGGTGTGGGATTGTTTCGCCCCCCACTTTGAGAACCACTGGTGTAAGCCTAGGAGAAACGTCACAATACTGAGGGTGCATAAAAAAACACAATTCTTGAATTTTGATATGGCTGGGTGCTAAAAGTGTTCCAATATATTTAGAAACAACACATGCAAAATATTTTTCCAATACATGATGATTTAGGGGTGCCACCGCACATCTGTTTTTGTTGGATAAAGTGGTAAACAGTGCTCAATGGGCACCATGGAGATCTGAGGTAAACAAGACTGCAGTTCAAGAAAACTGAGGTGATCTTTCTGTTTTTGTGTTGGGTATGTATTATTACATATTACTGTCATATCTGTAGTTGTGTCTTTGTATACTTAAGTCATATTTATAGGTATTTGGTGCTCATTACATCTAGCTAACGTTAGCTAGCAATAGTTTGCTAACCACAGTTAGCTATCTATGTTAGCTAAGCTATTAAGCTTAACATCAACAGTAGCAGCTATTCCAGAGTGGACAATGTCATATTCAGAGTATTGATGTCTCATGTTTATTGAGAGTAGCATTGTAGTTGTTACAGTAAATTAACATTTTAAATATAAGTATATTTGCGAGCACAGCTAGCTACTCTGGTAGTAACGGTAAGTTATGTTGAAGTTAGACTATGTACAGCTAAAATTGTAGGCTTATGCAAGCATGGTTTATCATAATTGAGTGATATTAAGTATGCCAAGATATTATTTTAAACTCTATCCTTGTCCCTGTATTAAATTAACATTTTAAACATAGGTATATTTGCAAGCACAGCTAGCTACTCTGGTAGTGATGTAAGAGTAAGTTATCATTGTAATGATGAAGTTGGACGATGTACAGCTAAAATACAGCATGGTTTATCATAATTGAGTGATATTAAGTATGCTAAGATATGATTTTAAACACTATCCTTGAGCTTGTGTCCTTTTCATTCCCAGGCACTGCACAACACAACCCACCCCAGGATCCAGCTCTCCTAAGATGCTGCCCTCACCAACTGGTCCCTGCCAGACTAGCAGTCGCAGCCTGGTCTTTGGTCTGGGCCCCAGCATCACCAGTGAGGATGGCATCATCACCGGCGCCAAACTGCCAACTGGTCGTCAGATCTTACGCTACATGCTTGCCAAGAAACCTGGTGCAAACGGAGCGTTGTCGCAGTTCGAGGCAACCAAGGGTGTCCTGGAGCAGGTACGGCCATTTTACAAGAAAGCCAACATCCCAATGGTGAGCGACAAGCGTGCCTGCCACAAGATGGTAGACTTAGTCAATGCTAACAACAAGCTGCGGAAAATCTCCCAGGCCAAGCGCTCCAGTGAGACTACAGCGAAACAATTGGAGAAAATGGAGTGCAGACTTGATGCCACATTTCCGCTGTGGCCTCCAAATGTTGAAAAGCTGATTGATAACCTAGAAGACCTAGCTTTCTTGGCCAGCATGAAGACCGACAGAGTGGCCACATTTGGTGTATTGGACAAAAAGCTGCAGCTCAAGGTGAAGCGGAAAAATCAGGCATATCTTGCCTCAAAACGATGCAGAGAAACTAGTCCATGCATTTGTTACTTCAAGGCTGGATTATTGTAACTCCTTATTATCAGGGTGTACCAAGAAGTCAGTCAAGTCGCTTCAGCTGATTCAAAATGCTGCAGCTCGTGTACTAACCAGAGTTAGGAAAAGGGACCACATTACTCCTGTTCTGGCTGCCTTACACTGACTCCCTATAGAACACAGGATAGAATTTAAAATTATTCTTCTCGCCTACAAAGCCCTTAATGGGCAGGCGCCATCTTACCTTAAAGAACTCATTATACCCTACTGTCCTATTAGGGCATTGCGTTCCAAGAATGCAGGGTTGTTGGTTGTTCCTAGAGTCTCTAAAAGTACAATGGGAGCCAGAGCCTTTTCTTATCAAGCTCCACATTTGTGGAATCAGCTTCCAGTTTGTGTTGGGGCGGCAGACACCCTATCCGTTTTTAAGAGTGCGCTTAAGACCTTCCTTTTTGATAAAGCTTATAGTTAGGGCTGATTAGATTCAGCCCCTAGTTTTGCTGATATAGGCTTAGTTTGTCGGGGGACATCTTACTTCTTCCTTCTCTCTGTCTATACCTGTGTACTCTCATGTTCCGATTAACCCAGCTTCCCCTAATGTCTTTCTTTTTGGTGTCTATATACGCCGGGATCCGGAGTCATGGATGATCCTGCGGTCCTCTGTCCTGGATCTTGAGCCCTGGATCTTGAGTCGTGGCTGTGGTCCTGGATCATAGGTCCTGGATGGATATCCTCGTGGATTCATCTTCCTATTATACACACATGCATTTCCAAACATTTGGACTACCTATGTTGCAAATGTATTATCTTTTCAATTTACACACGGCATCTATTGCACGTCTGTCCGTCCTGGGAGAGGGATCCCTCCTCTGTTGCTCTCCCTGAGGTTTCTCCCATTTTTTCCTTTAAACTGTGGGTTTTCTTCGGAAGTTTTTCCTTGTACGATGTGAGGGTCTAAGGACAGAGGGTGTCGTATTGTCATACTGATATTCTGTACACACTGTGAAGACCACTGAGACAAATGTAACATTTGTGATATTGGGCTATATAAATAAACATTGATTGATTGATTGATTGATTGATTGAAGCGGCGAGAGGAGCGTCAAGCTGCTGCAGCAGCCAGGCAGTCCCGCTGTGAAAATGAGCTGGAGGAGATGACGGCAATGTCCAGCTTGGTGTCGGAGTGATGAGGAGCCAGAGGAGGATACTAACACAGTCTGTCCAACATCTGAGGGCGAACCATCCCACAAGCGTAAGAAGACTGGAACAAACATCTTCATTCCACATGACATCCTTAGCCGACCAAGTGTTGTGTCACTGGGTACAAGGTTGAAGATGTCACCAACGCAACAGGCTGCCTTCACGCGTGGCCTGGTTGCAGAGTCAGGCGGTGAATGTACACATCTCTCTGCATCTTACGCAACAGCTGACCGAGCAAGACGCCAAGTGCTGGAGACAATCAGTGAGGAACGGCACAAGCAGTGGACACCACCTCCATTGTGCACCCTACACTGGGACAGCAAGTTAACACCGATGCTCAGCAATGTGCGCCAGTTGAAGGAGCGTCTTACAGTGGTGGTTGGAGATGCAGAGCGGCTGAAACTACTTGGTGTCCCGGCGTATAAGAAGCACACCAATGAGGCATGTGGAGTGATCATTGCCCGGTTGACATGCAAGTTGCTGCAGGACTGGTGCTGCGCTGACCAGGTTGTCAACATGGCATTTGACACCACTGCGTCAAACACCGGCCATCTCACAGCAGCCTGCATTGCCATACAGCTCTCACTGGGCTGACCACTGCTTTGGTCTGGTGCCGGCACCACATTGGTGAGGTCCTCCTGAACCAGGTTTTTACAGACCTGAAGATGGAGACATCACGCTCGCCAGAGGTTACCTTGTTCACACGTCTGAGAGATAAATGGAATCTGTTACCACAATAATCCAGCAGCCAATGGTCCCGTTACATTCCTGGCAACACCGAGCAACCTCTCCTGGGCAAGTTACGTGCTGAACTTGTCAGGTGCGCAAAATAAGTGACTGACCACAAGCGAGGTGACTACCGTGAGTTTGTGCAGCTGTGTCTTGTGTTTCTGGATACAGGTGGTGAAGAGCAGACTGCAGTGACCTTCCAACGACCGGGAGCGCTCCACAAGGCACGATGGATGGCCAAGCTGCTCTATACTCTCAAGCTGGCTTTGATGAAACAGCACATCGCGTTGCTTCCCCAGGGCACAATTACCACACGGCAGCAGGTGCCGAAGATTCGGGCATTTGTCATTTTCATTACACACATCTATGCAAAGTGGTGGTTGACCTGCGAGAAATCTGTAGATGCTGCCTGGAATGACCTGACACTCTACCACCACCTGCAGGCATACAAGGCTGTAGATGAGGGCATTGCAGCATCAGCGATCAAGGCACTGGAGAGGCATCGCTGGTACCTGACAGGTGAGATGCTACCCCTGGCTCTCTTCAGCAGCAAGGTGCCCAATGAGGACAAGCGTGCACTTGCCAGTGCGATCTTGGAGCACAAGCCCGCTGATCTCCCCATGCACATCCCTGAGCAGCGCTTTGGCACTGGCTTTGGCAAGCCAAAGTTCCCAACCTTTTTGCCAACCACCAGCTTGGCTGATCTCGCCAATAAGGATTGCTGGTTTGGGATGCACCAGCTGCACATTGATCCAGAATGTATGTCTCGATGTGAAGGAATGGGCGACCAATGTTGCGTTAAAAAAAAGTGAGGTCAATGTATGTGCAATGAACGTGGTCAATGACTGTGCCGAGCGTGGAGTCAAGCTCACGTCCGACTTCGTCGCAGTGGCCAGGAAGGAGCAGCACCTGCAGAATGTGCTGCAGGCAGTTGAACATGACCGCAGCCAACAGCCAAACCTTCGCCGCTGCAAACGCAAGCTAATCGCAAGCTAATCGCAAGCTAATCAAAAGCTTGCGATAGGACGGTTACTCTTGGGTGGCGAGACATATATGAGGGGAGACGCACAGGCTAGGTTCAGAGTTCAGGTTCCATTTCCTCTCTCTTTCTCCCTGGTGATGTTGCTCAGTGGAGCGGACTCTGGCACAGACTGAGCAATTAAGTTTGAAGTTTAGTTAGGGTTTGTTCTTTTAAGTGTGTCAGTATCGCCCCTTGTGTTTAACAATAAAGTCAATTAAACTTTATATGTGTGTCCGACATCCATTACTGCTGCACAAAATTCAGGGTAACGTGAACATGTCCCATTGAGCTCCATTAATTTTGTCTATAGGACAAATGAATGGAGAATCTTGAAAGTTGAATTCTGAGAAATGCCCAAGTTGCCCAAAGGGCAAACAAACAACTTTTACTTTGATAACCCTATAGAACATGTTACTGTATACAAGTTCACTGTACTCAACATTTCCAGGTCAACCTTTTGGCAATTAGACTAAAAATAGCAAATTTTTCGAAATTTCACAAAAGTTCATGTCTTTGGTGGCACCCCTAAATCTCAATGCAATTCCTCAAAACTTTGCAAAAGTCATTTTTATGTAAATTGGAACACAATGCAATGCCAGCCAAATTGATATTTTGAAATTAAAATGTCCCATTCAGCAGTGCAGAAGAGCGCAGGAGAATTACCTGCATGGTGAAGACACACTGCAAGGCTATCAGACGATATGAACAATTTTTACCTTTACGAAACAGAAGTCTAACACCAAGCGTTTAAATCAGCACTGGTAGCGATATTTTATACTTCATGCTATCTGTACAAACTATATCATATGAAAAGCTGAGAGTCCAAATATTCTATTAGTATAAGTTTCATCCCTGTGTGATCAAAACTCACTGTTCTTGTATGATAAATAAAAGAACATTTTACCTTGAAAATCAATGCATTCTAATAGCGGGTAAATTTGACCCGTTGGCGGTTTTAGGTATACAGCGACCTCTGACGGTTCTAGTGTTAAGAGTTAGAAATGTACACTGAGCTAGTGTTGAATGCACATTATACTGGTGTTGCATTTTGCATTAGCCTCAACCCTCTGGGAGTTCAAAATGAACACTAATCTAGTGTCAAATGTAGTGTATTGGTATTATGATGTACAACAAACTGCCCAGCTAGAAATATTTGGTTCTAAAAACATTCTGAGAATGTTACCATTCATTGTTCTAGGAATGTTTTCAGCGTGAAGTTTTAGTTTGGTTCCTAGAATGTTCTTCTGAAAGGTAGAATAACGTTCTCTAAAAACATTCTTAAAATGTTTGGTGATAACATTCTTAAGATGTTTTTGATAACCTTCTTAGGTAGGGTAGGTAAGAATGGAGAAACCAGCTCGAGTGCGCTAGAATTTGAAACTACGCAGTCGAAGAAAATATGTCCCTTCCTTCAGACTTTCTTCCAGAGCCCCTCCTCCAACACACACGAACGCGCACATGACCAATGAGGGCACGAGATAAGTTTGTGCACGAGATGGAAGGCTGACAGGCAGGTAGGCCATCCAGTTATTTTATAATAATTGGTCGTGCTTTTTACAGCGCCACGGCTTCCACAGATGAATTTTTTTAATGTATTTATTGTCAAAGTATTTAATGTATTCATTGCTATCGGGATGTTAAGAGCATTCCATGGAATATAACAAAAAGTGTTTCTGAAGTGAATTACCTACCCCACCTTTAAGATATTTTTGATAACATTGTTAGAACATTGTGCCCTTCTAAGGCATATAAGGCAGCTACACCTCCTGACTGTTATCCTACACCCTCTTCAGCGAGCGGCATAGGAAAGACAGGGCCCCTAGTTAAAGGGCTCCGCCTGTGCTTATAGAACTAGGGTTACAAAACGTAACCCCCGTTATAACTTACACAGGCTCCGCCCTCTACTGGACTCTATGGGTACATTGGGTGGAGCCCCGATGGATAAACGCCCTGTCGCCCTACAACATCGACCCACCACACTGCCCCTGACCGGCTTTTGGTTAACAGCCACCGCACCCCAACTTCCTATCATCCGGTTCTGACCGTGGAGAAGTCGGGGCCGCAGTTTACTTGGCTGGGTAGAACCTAATTGGTCTGAATAAGCTCATAGCTCCACCCTGCAGGTGCCAGCGCAAGTGACTATACATAGACTGCGCACTACGTTTCCCAGGTCCCTAAGGAGCATGGGGAGAGTGTAAGTGCACCATGTCCCCCACACTCACACACGCTTACCTCGTGTAGAGTGTGCATGAGTCTTCCAGCCCTGTATGGGGCTTACTGCGCACCACGTTTCCCAGGTCCCTAAGGAGCATGGGACAATGTAAGTGCATTAGGTCCCTGGGGGTCAGATACAGCTTACTGATCCACAGCCCTCCTCCTTTCACCAGTCCTATGTTGCCCCAGCAAGCACCTACGATGAAAAAGGAGCCAGACATGTCTAAGAGATGCTTACCCTTATGAACGGGCCTGGCGTAGACCAAGACGCCGCCGTGCATAGGTGGACGACTAAAGCCGTCTAGCTGTATAACAGTTCCCATTGCGGGGGTGGAGACATGCACCACTGGGCGCTGTCTCCTGATCCCCTGCAAAAAACACTTCATAAGCGGTTGGCTAAAGACTGGTCTGCTGCCAAATCCCGCATGACAGGACGAGATGGCTGCTGCATACACCTTGACTGTGGCATGAGCAAGCCCCTTGTCCACCAGTAGCTATAGCCAGGGTAGAATAGAGCCCAATGTACCGGACAGAGGCTCTAGACTCCCTTCCTCGCACCACGTCTGTCTGTCCTCTGACAAAGTGAAACGTAGCCTGCCCTCCTTCTCGATGGGTCGTACACCTCGCTCTCGATGGGGGCTGCATTGAGCAAAAACCCCAGATACCCCAACTGCTGGTGAGGTATGGGACTGCTCTTCTTCCAATTGACCGCAAACCCCCAACTGGTTATGTGTAAGATCAATTGGGCTGTAGGTTCATCTCAATACCCCTCCTCGACTCCTCTCTTCCCCTCCTCCGGGACTTGACCCGGAAATCGATCAAGACACGCCATGTTGAATGGACCTGGCCATGACTACGAGGTAGTTGAGATCAAATAAAACCCTCATGCCATGGCCGCGAAGAGGCTGAAGCGCTGTGGTCACACATTTGCTGAAAGTGCGTGGGGACAGGGAGTAGCCGAACAGTAGTCTGTTGTACTCTGAGGCTATCCCCTGGAATGCAAAACGCAAATACTTCCTGTGT